TGTTTGGGGGAAAGAAAATTATGTATTAAGTAGGCTCTTTTTTTTTTTTTTTTTTTTTTGGAGGAGGTGGGGTGGGATGGTGATGGCATCTTCATAAAAGAAAACACATCCCTGGATAGGTAAGAGAGAGTAAAGAAAGCTCGTTCTTGAGAAAATTTTAAGGGAGCTTTTCTTATTTTTCATTCTCTGTAAACTAGGACAGTGAGTGAGTGCAGTGTCCTTCCGTTCCAGGAATTCTGTTTAATCCTTTGCATACTGATATACAGCTGACCCATTGCACTGAACATCTGCTTTATATCAACATTAAATAATGAATGTATTTTATACCTTCAGGGTAAGGAGGAAGACTGCAAATCACCTGTGTCTTCCATAAAGGCAAATAACTTCTAGGTATACTGGATTAATTGCAAAGCAATATAAAAGGAATAAAGTTTATTCAAATATATGTACTTGTAATCTGCAAATGTATTACTCTTTTTGCTAAGGACCAAAATGTTTAGAATTTGAGTCAACAAAAATGGAGAGTGACTTCGGTTAGATTATGGTTCCAATAAACATAACTTTAACAAAGATAGAAATTTTATAGAGTAAAATGATTTTATGAGTGACCTCATAGACTTTTGCATACTATCAAATTTGTAGAAAAATATTACATATACATTTCATGCTTATTCCACATAGTATGTTAACTATGTACCTATCCAGCACTGACTTAAAACAATTTTGTTCTTTAAACAGCAATTCAAGAGTATGATCAAGATTTTTCAAAGCATTTGCATTATCGCTTTTTGTAATTATTGTTAGCAACTAAGATACTAACTTAGTAACTATCCTGGATTTAAAAAAAAAAAAAAAAGAGTAGTTTTATTTCAAATCAGTTACTAAAAAATACACCTTTTTCTTCAAAGCCCAGGCTACTTGTGGTTTTTTTTCCCCCTAAGCTAAGCTACATTGTTCCAAGCTACTCTTGGGCTACTACACAGCTGCTACTCTTCACAGCAGAAACGAGAATGGAAAAGAATGCATTACTTACTCACTGCACAGGTGCACCTGCCCACACCCTGCCCCCTGTATGTAGTAACCTCTTGGCAGGGACCATGCCTGCTGGGCTCTGTAAAGGCACCAGTTACAGCTGCGGGATGTCCATTAACAGCGCTAACAGGTCTTTTTTTCATTTCTCTTGGCAAGCATAGATTTCTTGAGAGGAAATGGGATTAAAGTGACTCTGTTATTCCCCCGTGGAGCTATTTTGTTGATAGATCCCAGACCATCCACCCCATGGAGAGCTGGATCCACTGCTCAGCAAGACTGTGGAGACATCCTCCATTTGACTTGGCCACCAGCAGACACAACCAGGGCTCTTCCTGGGCAACTCGTAAATATCTGACAAAACCACACACACTTGGAATGGAATTCTTTTCTGAACTCTAGAAAAACTTCTCTAGTCAGGACAACATAAGCATTCCACTTCACCTCGATGGTGACAAGTTGATATTAAGTCATCAAGTAACGTGTGATCTAGATGTCTGAAACACATTGCCTCACTGCTAAAACAGTTCCCCCTTAATTTTACCAACCATTACTTGTTCATCTGTATAAACTTCATACAATAAAAACACAAAGACTTAAACAAGTACATAAAAAGGTTATCTTTATTTTTTTTTGGTTGTTAGCAATGTAGTTATTTTTGGTAAAACAACTTCCTGCATGCAGTTCATCAGTACGCTATGAGCCAATAGTTTATATAAAAGCAGGAGCCCATCTATATTCTAGTTCTTTTGTAAGAAATGCAAGGTATTCCACTGTCCATTGCCCAAGTTCACTATTCATTCTCATGAATAAAGATTTTGAATAACAAATTATATTTAAAGCACTTCTACTGCAGTATGAATCAACAAGAAAGCAGATAGCATGAGACTAACACTGGGGAAAAGCAATGTTTCTATGACTAAGAGTACCCTGAAAATTGACAGACAGGATTATAATTTCAAAAGAATCCCTTCCACCTTGTTTCACATAAACAGACCTACCTACTGATCAGAAAAAGAACTGTACTGTGCATTTATTTTAAAATGATTCCTTGTTAAAACATGTTTAATATAATTAGCAGAAACTTGCAATTACCAATTCACGTTGTATCTTGGAATCCTCAACAGTAAAGTGTCACAGATAGGCAGCAATAAAAATTACTAAAAACAGAATAAGAAGTTACACTTATCTTCATAAGTATAAAATGTTATAAAATAAAACTATTTTCAAAATAACAAGAATAGATCAATAGACATATATTATACAAGGTTTCTTCTAGCCCCACATTTTAAGCAATATATTTCTCCTGTGAAGTCTGGTTATTTACTGCATATTTGCTGATTACAAAACTCAAACAAAATAAAATCCATAATAGCATACTGGTATGAGGAATGATGATCTCGTTGAATAGTTTTTTTTCTTTTTACCACTCACATGTCTTCCCATCTTAGACTTTAATAGCTGTAGGATAATAGCAGCAAGCATGCATCAGTTAAAGCTTCCCAATTATTTGGAGTATTACAGAATATATCGTATTATCTACTGAAATGTAGTAAAGTACACTTACTAGGGTACACATTTGACGCAATAAATACAGTACTTAGGTCATCGTCTCTGTTCAAAAAGGTACCACTGCGTAAAACAATTGATTAAATAACAGAGGATATTTTACTTACATATATAGTGTCAGCCTTGATGATAAACTCATCTAAACCACAATGCAGGACAAAGCTGATTTAAGTATATCCTTTTGGTCATCTCAGCTTTCTGTGGAAGATTGGATTGCATCGAGTGGAAATATGACTAAAGTGCCATGGGGGGGTCAAACTACCTCTGAAGTACAGATTTAACATCTCTGCCATGACCCATCCTTCTGAAGTATGGAAATTTAAGTCTGAGGTATACATTAAGGTACTATTTGTCCCAAAAGGTACTTAGATATCAATTTATACATGTAAGTTTGATTATTGTCCTAAATGGGATATATTCATGTGAAACAAGAAGTGTAGAAACAGACTGGAATGCAGTATGGAAGCTACTCATGAAATTACAGAGTCTACAGTTAAAAAAAAAGAAAAAAAAGACTACCACTTTTTGCAGTAATTTCCTGCAGGCACAATTTGGAATGCGTAGCTTTTCTGTGAAAAGAACCATTTATATCTCAGGATTTATGAAATATGTTGGACTCTGAAAGTAACTATGATTTTTAAATAGTTTCAAGTTTTTCATAACAGCAGTTGTGTGTGTAGTATCATTTATTTAAACAACGGTATCAGAAATGAACTCTATAATAAATTAAAAATTATTTAAAAGAATTAAACATAAGTATATTAAAACCAAAAGACTAAAATACCAACCTCTTTTCTGTGAAAATAATTCCCTTTTTTTGTTTTCTGATAAATTCTCTATCTGTACTCTGTTCTTTTTTTATCATTTGCTGTTGATTTGATCTAGATCCTGAGGTTCAATACCTAGAATCTTGGTTTTCTGCTTTTAGAAGTGGCTTGAAAATAAGTATGTTCACATTATGATGCCATAATTTTGTATTCCTGACATTTGTGTTCCTCTGCAAGAGTATTTAGTTTTTTTGTCTCAGTACAGCAGAATGACAAAATGCAGTATGTCAATTAAAGAAAATGAGAGAACATGAAAAAAATGGACACACATAGAACATACATAGGAGATGAAACATATACAGTGGAAACACTTACTCCACAAAAATACAGACTTATTAGGACTGGTAATTTTGCACTCCGTTAAGGGTTCCTGCAGTCCAAGTAGAAATTTTGTGTCTCCTCTCTATTGGTGGCAGCTACTAATAAAAACTATTCTTCTGCAAAGTTATTTCCCTGTTAGAGACTGAGAGTTTGCTAGTGAAGGGTCATTGTCTTGGTACAGGCACTGACTGTAGCAGTGGGTAAATATTTAAAAACTTGTAGTTCTGGCATAATCCTCCAATAAGATTGCTAATGATAAAAATGTCATCTCAGATTTGTGAACAATCACAACAGACCACCTCTTTGTCTTTTACTTTTTATTTCCTTTTCTGTCTTTCCCCTTGTCTTCTTTTTCTGATTTGTCATCTTCATATTTTTCTTTTTCTGGTCTTGTTACGCTATCATAAGAAGGTGGAGATATGGTGGATGCAGATATATCCATTTTCTCTGGAGGTGAGTTTTCACTTAGCTTATCAATAATCGTATCTTTTCTGATAAGCAGATCAACCCCATCTTTCCGATACATAAACGAAAGCTTCTTTACTGACTGTCTTAAAAGATAACGTCTATAAGCACGCTGAATGATAGTAGCAGACACTTCCTCCAGTTTTCGTTTTAATGTGGTTGTGATTGGTTCATAGGAGACTTTTGAAGGATTGGCTGCCATAAACCGATCCTCCATCTGTATTCTGAGGGCATCCATCTCATCACTTTCCCCCAGAACACGCTTTGTGAAAGCAAACAAGATGTCAAGGCAGTGAATTCTGTCACCGCTTACCATGGGCAGATCCATTGCGATAAGCTGGACCTTGTTTGGTTTGGGTATATTGAGAGGGGGATCCAGGGAGGCTGCAAAATCAGACAACTTGCTGTATTCTATGAATTGGGTTGCATCTGGATCATATTTTTCCCAAACCTCATAGAACATCTCAAAGTCATCCTCGCTCAAGGGTTCAGCGCTTTCTTCAGTGGCAACACTGAAGTTCTCCAAAATCACAGCAATGTACATGTTCACCACTACCAGAAATGATATGATGATGTAGCTGACAAAGAAGAAAATCCCAACGGAAGGGTTGCCGCAGTCGCCTTTCACAGAGCTCCCCGGATGAGGTTTGTTGGGGTCACAGTCCGGCTCCCCACTGTTAAGAATTGGGGCCAGCAAACCATCCCAGCCAGCAGATGTGGTGATTTGAAACAGGCAGATCATGCTGTTGCCAAACGTTTCAAAGTTGAACATGTCATCGATCCCAGCTTCCCTCTTAACGTAGGCAAAGTTGGACATGCCAAATATCGCATAGATAAACATGACCAGGAAGAGCAGCAGACCGATGTTGAACAGAGCAGGAAGAGACATCATCAGAGCAAAAAGCAGAGTGCGGATTCCCTTGGCGCCTTTAATGAGACGCAGGATTCGACCGATTCTGGCAAGTCTTACGACTCTGAACAAAGTGGGGGACACAAAGTACTCTTCAATCACCTTGGCTAGAAACATACCTGTGAAATGAAATATAAAATTAAAAGGGTAGCATTTTATCAAAGATTACATTTTCCACAAAATGTATGAACAAAGAACAACTATATCTGTGAAATTAGTGAAAATTATAATTGGAGGTAAAGTTTATCTGCTATGGGTAATTTTAGATTTTATGCAGCACTCAGAGAAAAAAAGGAGTATTAAAATTTATACGTAATTATTAATAAGGTTAGTACTCTAAAGTATGTTTTATATTTCCTAAATAATCAGGAGAAATTAAAATTAAGTATTTCTTTTATTCTGCAAAATTTGACAGAGCTAAAGCATTTAATACATGCCTTACTACACTTCATTTTGAATATAAGAATTTCTTACCTACTATTGAAAGAATAACGACCACAAAATCAAAAACATTCCAGCCAATGGTGAAGTAATAACAACGGAGTGAAAACATTTTGAAGACACATTCTCCAGTGAAAAGGACAACAAAGACCAAGTTAATCCAATATAAAATACGTTCCATCAGTTCCCCCTGGTCATCTGTTTCTATCATCATAGTGACCATATTAAGACAGATGAGAACCATAACCGTGATATCAAATGCTTGCTTTGTTACAATATCAAACACCAGACCTTGCAACTTGTTCTAAGGGAAGAAAAAAGAAAAGGTAATTGTATCTTTTATGTAATGGAGATCCTTTCACTCCCTCCCATTCACTTCTTCCTCCACCAAAATATACCATTAAGCAAAAGGCTGAAAAATCTAAGTACTGTCCAGTAACTTCATTTGCCAGCTCTAAGTTTTCCCTCAAAACAGGCTTTATTTCTTCAGATTCTTTGATTCTCTACTTCCTCAGTCATAAAAAATATGGCAGATTTTTCCTTCAGTACAGAAATATGTACATGTTTCAGTTCAGAATGAAGAGCTAATTTGAATTAGGCCTAAAACACTTCAGAGTAAAGGGAGGATTTTTTTGATAGTTAATGTACTGCTGCAATTTCTTCCCAAATGCAGATGATATTAGAACAGCACACATTCTTACCGCTGGTCTAGGTATAGGTTTTTGCGGTTTCTTGGATCCCAGCTTCTTCATTGCATTGTAGTATTTTTTTTGTTCTTCTGTCATGAAAATGTCTTGACCTCCAAGGTAAAATAATAAAAATATAACTGATTACAGCCAAGCCTTTAAATCCAATAATCCACAGCACTACATAACATGGGTTTTATGACCACTGTATTCATTCTTATACATTGTTCCCAAAACCAAAACAGAGTAAATATATAGAAGATAGTTAAAATACGTGACAAGTCCTGATGGGAAAATAAAACAAATAAATGAACTACGAAAACCCCCAGAACTTCTATTTATTTCTTATTAAAAACAATACAAACCTGATTAAATATGTACAAAACACCTTGTAAAAATATACATTCCAGAGATACTTATAAATCTAACATCATAAACTCCACAGTGTAAATCAGTCAACCAGAAATAAAAAAAGCCTCAAAGGTAGGAAGATTCACTGAGAGCTGATATGCCTTCAAGGAAACCATATGAGGAAAAGAAATTACTGACATTACTCTTCAGAATGAACATTTTATCATTTGAGTGCAGGTATCTCAGTTCAGATTTTTTTTTCCACAATAATATTTCCACAGTGAATATGAGGTTTGATCATCTCTGTACATTGCACAGAAATCATCAGGAGCACCAGGAGAATAGCAGTCTTCAGATGAGATACACCTTACACAACTTTAAGGACCGTAATGGTTAGGAAATGGACAGCTAGTGGAACTTTTTTTTTCCCCAAGACAACTACTGTAATAAAAGTAGGACACACACAGGAACCAAAGAAATGCACACAGCTAATTACACAGGGACAGTATATTGCAACATGAGGTCTTTCCCATTCATATCCCAACAACATTGCCCCAGATGGAGAGATCTAAGTGATGTGAAGTCAGAACAAAGACAAGAAAAATACTGCTGGGTAGCCATGCACTGCATGATCTGCACATTTCTATGAGCACAGGTGCATCTATAAATTCCAAAGACAGGTGACTAACATTTTCTGTTTTGCTACATGAAACCGAAAAGAATAACATGTAGATAGAATTTTCACCAGCCTAATTGTTGTCCTTTGTGATATCTGTGATATTTTACTTTCTTGGTGACAGTTACAACAGCTAATAATGTACCAGGGAGGTATACCATGCTGCCAGAAAAAGCCCTTTAGCAAGAACCCTTCTCTGCCTTCTGAGTCATAATGACTACAAATAGACAGTCTCTGTCAAGCGGACTTAATAGAATTTATAATCAGCTCATTACTGAGTAAGGTCACCTTGCTACATGTAGACTGCCAAAAATGCCAATAGCATGTATACAACCTTAGCCACCTTCTCTAAGGATAAGAAACTGAACCACCTCCCTGTTAAGTACTGGTAGCCCCTGATGTTTATTCCAAGGGAGGTGCAAACATTTTGGAGGATGAAGATGTCATCAGGTTTGGAACCACACACTCATCCTTTCTATTCTGTTGGTTTGCTGATATGAGACTGAAAGGACCTGAAGAAGGAACATATGAAGCTACATATGCCAGTCTCAAGTGGAAAGTTTCCACTGCAGCAAGTCTGGCAACATCTTTTTTCAGTACAATGAATCAAACCTCACAAACCATCTAGAATCACAAATGAAGAAATTATGTACTGCCTTCCTATTACTTGGCTCATTTTTTTGTAAAACTGCATATTCCAGTATGACTTTGCTCCAAAGGTAGTACAGAAAAATAAGACTGTTGTAGACCTTAGACAACATTTATAGTTAAAATAGCAAGTAGTATTTAATTTTGTTTTAATCTATTTAAATGCTGCCGAAGTTCTTGACAAAATCTTGTGTTCATTTGACTAATGGAAACAATTTCAGTTGAAAAGAAAAACTACACATTTCCAAACATCAACAATTTTCTTTCTCTTGCAAATTCACTAACCCATGAGACAGTTTCCCAATGCTCTCTAATCTTACAATACAGAGCAGTAGTTCCAGCATCCAGCTTTTCTCTGTTAGTCTCTCTGTAATTTAGAAGGTCTTCACAGTACTGATATATATGTTTATCAATTTTGGTATTTGTAGTTTTGCACATTCTCTTCTTCACTGTCATCTATTTGTTTGAATTAAGTCATCTGCATTTTCACATAGCTTTGTCACAACACTTTAAGGGTAAGTGAAAATACTACATAACTTTCTGATGTACAACACATCACTGGGCTATACAGGGATGTGGAGAACACTCAGATGCTCAGTGTAAATTTAAATTACTCCGAACACCTTAAAAAGCAAAGGCTATTATTTCATTATTTTTAATAGAATAAAAGGAAATCTTAATAGTTGATTTTTTTTTCTTTCTATTACTATGAGAAATTTCAGACACTCCTTTATCTATACATACATTTGCTGAATCCTCAATAATAATGAAGTGTTGTGAAAATGAGATATGTAATACTTATCTTCTTTTTTTGTTGGTTGAAGTTATCTATGATGACACCAATGAATAGGTTTAGTGTGAAAAATGATCCAAAGATGATAAAGGCAACAAAGTAAATATACATGTACAGGCTGTACTCATACTTGGGCTGTTGGTTTATCTATGTAACACAGAAAAAGAGCAATACATCACACTTAACAGTTAAGACAAATTACAGAATAGCGAGCAGAGACAGAAGTTGCATCCAGCTGGACAGCAACTCCTTGACAAGGGGGGGAAAACAGCTGCTTTGGAGTATACCCTACACTTGCCTTATCTTTGAACTTGAAAACCTATTTAACACAGATGTCTGCAATTGCACACACAGTCCTGCCATTCCTGCCCTTCCTGTCTGCAAGTTCCTCTCTAATGACATTTGATGTTACATGTAATTCCAACTGAATTTGACAGAAGTGTGCAAGTCTCAAAAGCAATTCAGTTCCTATGGGCTTTATGCAAATCAGGAGTTGGATAGAGGAGAGATGGAAACAAATACCAGAATTAACAGTAGTAGAGGCACAATCCAGCCTTTTTTTTTTTGGCTCACCAGAGTCTGCAGCTCTGGCTTAGCTATTGCAGGTGATGTCACTTGATTATTAGTATTATTTTTGGAGAAACAGGAAAAGCTTGTTTCCTGATCTGTATAATCTCAGTAAGATAAATGAATAGGAAACTAGATTTCATTAGTTTTTTTTATTTACAGATGACTTACTAAATTAGTAATACTTTATGTAGATCTACTGCTGTAATTTTTTTACCCTTTAAAAGTAGATAACTACTTGTAGTGTATAGATTTATATAGAAAATTGGTCAGAGGTATACATTTTTATTCTTTATATTTTACTTTAATTCAACTGTCATTCAAGAAACATTACATCACTCATACTTGTTTTCACTCAGAAAATTTTATATTGCACTCACTTCTCTAGAATCAACTGCAGCATACATGATGTCCGTCCATCCTTTAAATGTTGCCTAAAAACAAAGTTTGTTAATATTTTCTATCAAAATTCCAGTTTGGTAAACACAGTAAATAAAACACTGTCTTCTGCAATGCATTTGCACACACAAAAATAAAGAATAATATTAAAATTCTGGTAAAATACAAGTGAAGTATTCACAGGAAGTAATTTCCTGTGGAATACTTCTCCCTAATACTTAAACAATGAATAAATTCTAATCTTCAAATTCATATAATGAGTTGCAATCAATACTTGAGCATAACAAAGACTTCAATTGATAACAAGGCTCTTGGTTCTAACTTTTTGACTACTAAAAACTGGAGGAGGACTCCAAAAATCAGCCACCAAGGGTTGGCATTTTTCAGAAAGACTATGCAAATAGTCCTAGCAGAAAGTCCAGAAAATAGGTAGTCCTAAGTCTAAGAGAATCATAGAATAGTTTGGCTCCTAGCCAAAAAAAAAAAAAAAATCCTTTCAGTTTAAAACTTGTCCCTTGTCCTGTCACCACAGACCTCTGGAAAAAGCTTATTTCTGTCTTTCTTATAAGCTCCCCTTATATATTGAATAGCCACCAAAAGGTCCCCCTAGAGCCTTCTCTTCTCCAGGCTGAACAACCCCAACTCTCTCAGCCTTTCTTCATCAGAGGGCTGGAGCACCTCTGCTATGTTTTTGTTGGCCCTCCTCTGGACCCACTCTAAGATTTCCCTGTCTTTCTTGTACCAGTGGGATCTCTTGCATGTGAAGTGGATGAGAAGAATCACCTTCCTGGATCTGCTGGCAACATTTCTTGTAATGCAGCCCAGGATATTATTTGCTTTCTGGGCTGCAAGTGCACATTGATAGCTCGTATCCAGTTTTTTGTCCAACAATATCCTCAAGTCCTTCTCTGCAGGGCTGCTCTCAATCCATTCATCCTCCAGTCTATACTGATACTGGGGATTGCCCTAACTCAGGTGCAGGGCTTGTCATGTGGCGTTGTTGCACTTCATGAAGTTTACATGGGCACACTACTCAAGCCTACCAAGGTCCCTCGGGACGGCACTTCAACCCTCGAAGGGTATCAACTGTACCACTCAGCTTGATGTTATCTGCAAACTGCTGAGGGCGCACTCAATCCTACTATCTATGTCATTGATGAAGCTATTAAATTGAATTGGTCCCAGTGCAGACCCTTGAGAGACTCCACTTGTTATTGGTTTCCACTTTCACATTAAGCTGCTAACTGTAAGTCTTTGGACTCAGCCATCCAGCCAATTCCTTATCCGTCTAGTGGGCCTTCCATCAAATCTACTCCTATGACATTAAGTGAAAACAAGGCATGAATGGTATGTTTACTGCAAACATGATATTCTTGATCCATTCTATGCAAGATATGTTACAAAAGCCGAAAGCACTGCTGTCCTCTACACTAGTAATTGCAATTGACTAGTGCTATTTAGCAATAGCTACTGTTACTCCCTGGAGCAATCAGATGGTAGCCTGCTAGCACAGTACTAACTACGACATGCTACCAGTTAGAGATCTTTAAAGACAGAACAATTGCCAAGTGCTTATGAGCATAAGTATTTTCCCAGAGGAGTTTGCCAAGCAAATCTGATTAGGAATAAATGTTTCTGTCTTATTGGCTCCAATTTACATATGCTGCCTCTAAAAAAGGTTTGCGGTTAGAGATCTAGCACTAATAAATTTTGCAATTGTTCATCTGAAGTTTAACAACCTAAAAACTCTTTCCAAAAGACCCACTTGGCAATAATAAAACAAACTTTTCCTAAAACAACAGTTGGCTTTCTTCTAGTTTGAAGATGAGATGAGCCCTAGAATGTATTTATTTGACTACCATGGTAAAACAATAAGTCAACATCCCTTAACAGATCAAGTAAATTAAAAAAAAAATAATCTTAGGTGTCTTTTTTTTTTACTTGATACTGTGATTCTGTAGAAATTGAAAAGATTCTTGCAGTAGATATTAGACATTCCTCTTCTAAAATGGCAATAGAATGTTTCAGAGTTCCATCATAAGCAATATTATTTAGCCTTATGGAACACAATTATCAAATCAAATCCCATATTTATTCATATATTACAAAATAACACTGAAAATTATAAAATTAAATGTCACTGCCAAAAAACCTAAACCTGGAAAATTAATTTATCAAAATTGATACACTTACTACTTGAAGCAGAGAAAGATAACCAGCTCCAACATTATCAAAGTTAACTTTCACATTTTTCCACCGAACATCCATACCAGCGAGCCTAAGATTTGCACACTCAGTTGCATTATTCACTTCCTCTGGTAGGAATGGCTCACCAGTTGTGGTGTTAACACAGTGATAGAACTTGCCAGCAAATAAATTTACTCCCATGATGCTGAAAATTAGCCAGAACGTAAGACAAACCAGAAGTACATTCATAATGGATGGGATGGCTCCAGTAAGAGCATTCACAACCACCTAGTAAACAAACACAGGAAAAGAAACTTTTTTTAAAACAGTATGCAGAGCAGTAAAAAGATTACTTTTTTTTTTTAAATATAGCAAAAGATTTAATTTTAGACACTAAAATGCATTCAATTCATTCCAATGGAAAAGGAATAACACATGTAATACAATCAAACATGCTACTGCTGGCCTTGAAAACAGACATGCAGTTCAGTGTTCCTCTGTGATTTTATAATTGGGCATATTTTTATGGATTTGTTTTACACACAATTTCTTTTTTCTTACCCTCATGCCTTCAAAGCGTGACAAGGCTCTTAGAGGTCTCAAAGCTCTTAATGTTCGTAGGGATTTAATTGCACCAAGTTCTGAGAAACCAAGGGCAGTAGCTACTAAGCTAACCAAGGAGACCTAGAGGAAACAAAAGATTTTTTTTTTTTAATTGCCTCACAATAAAAATGTAATGCTTTGAGGAAGAAAACCTTCATCTGGATATGATGGCCCTAAGCTTCTACTGAGAACAAATAAAAAAGAACAAAGTTTAAAAAATGAAAACAACACTGAGTGTAAAGTCACAGCAGTTTAAACAAAAAGAGATGTTGCTTTCTGGAACTTTCATCAGAGACAGAGTGCTAGAAAAATGCATGTTATACCTGTGCAAAGTGAAGGGCAATTTGGATACCAAGAATTTTAATAAAAGCTCATCTTTCCAATAAACTCAGCCAAAGCCAGAAATGTACCAAAAACCTAATCTCATTCAACATGACACGTTACAATACTAAGCAGTGCATACTACAGATGCGTTATTATAGTAATGACCAAATGTCAGCCAGAAGCATTTGCTTCTGCTAATCTGCACTTGAATAATTCATATAATAACAGATACATGAATAACTAGTAATTCATGTTGCTTGCAGATGATTACAGACTTGGAAGTGGTATATGTCCAGTCAGACAGGACTGACACGTGACTCCTAACTGTTCAACAGACACAAAGAAATACCAATGTCAATACAATTACCTAGGAGCAATGCACTCAAATGCATATAAGAGTAGACAGCACTTTCCTGGGAAGTGGTGTTACAATGGAGTTAATAAATTAATTGTTAGGTATGGCTTGTTGTACCTTCAGACCACTGCCATCTTGATATTTAAGAATCATAGTATCAAGAACCAGAAGAAAAATCTATGCTTATGTCCATCTGGCAAAGAGTACTGTATCTGGTGTTTGAAGTTCAAAACTGAAGTTAAAAATTTTAAGTCCAAGAATGATCAAGAAGTTGGCAGATAGATTTAAGAGTTATCTGCCTTAGAGTATTGGCCAGTCACAAGTGGTGTTCCCCAGGTCTCAGTACTGGGCCAGTCCTGTTTAATGTCCTCTGGATGAGGGGATCGAGTGCACCCTCATTAAGTTTGCAGGTGACACCAAGTTGTCCAGAAGTGTTGATCTGCCGGAGGGTAGGAAGGTTCTTCAGAGAGAGCTGGACAGGCGGGATCAATGGGCCAAGATCAACTGTATGAGGCTCAACAAGGCCAAGTGCCAGGTCCTACACCTGGGTCACAACAACTCCCTGCAATGCTTCAGTCTTGGGGACACGTGGCTGGAAAGCTGCCTGGCAGAAAAGGATCTGGGGGTGCTGGTTGACAGCTGGCTGAATATGAGCCAGCAGTGTGCCCAGGTGGCCAAGTAGGCCAATGGCATCCTCGCCTTCCTCAGGAACAGTGTGGCCAGGGAAGCGATTGTCCCCCTGTACTCAGCACTTGTGAGGCCACACCTTGAACACTGTGTTCAGTTTTGGGCCACTCAGTACAAGAAAGACATTGAGGTGCCGGAGCAAGTCCAGAGAAAGAGCTGGTGAAGGGTCTAGAGAAAAAGTCTGAGGAGTGGCTGAGGGAACTGGGTTTGTTTAGCCTAGAGAAGAGGAGGCTCAGGGGAGACCTTATTGCTCTACAACTACCTGAAAGGAGGTTGCAGAGAAGTGGATGTTGTCTCTTCTTCCAAGTAACAAGTAAAGGAACAAGAGGAAATGGCCTCAAGTTGTATCAGGGGAGGTTTAGATTGGATGTTAGGAAAAAATTCTTCATGGAAAGGATTACCAGGCATTGGAACGGGCTGCTCAAGAAGGTGCTTGAGTCACCATCCCTGGAGGTATTTAATAGACCTGTGGACGAAGCACTTATGAACATGGTTTAGTGATGGAATTAGCAGTGTTAGGTTAATGGTTGGACTTGATGATCTTCAAGGTCTTTTCCAACCTAAAAGACTATGATTATAATTACAGTTAGGCCACATAGTTCAAGACAAGAAAAGAAAACCAGGAGAAGATCCAGAAAAAGAACACATTCACTGAGTGGAATGACCTTTGTTTATGTCAACAATCTGATTTCCTACACAAATTCAACTATAATATTCAGTTTCAGAATACTATTCCTTTCTAAAATTCAAACACTAGACAAACATGTAGCATAGAAAGAATTAATCCATATGAATCCATCAAGACATTAAAATCATTACATCTTAGTTTTTATAATTCTAGAGAAAGTATAGAGAAAATCTGTTTCAAGTATTCATGTCAGATAACCATATTTTCCTAGGTGATGTAATTATATTTGCATGTTTGCACTGCAAGAAATCCTCTTTCTGCAAGATTAACACATCCTACTTAATGATGCCACAATTCTATCTTTCTTTGGAAACTAAAATACAATTTCACATATTGCTTTTTTCTGATTTCCTTTTTTGGAGGGGAGAAAGGATAGGGAGTACAGGTCATCTTATCACACAGTTCTGCTGGTAATTAAAGCTTAATTTTTCTGGTACTATCTGTGGATGTATGTGCATGTACGCACTTTTAGAATAAATAATTTCCTCCTCTTCCTTATGTGTGATTGTGGTTTGGACAACTCCTGATACCAGGTATGAAATTTCTTCCACATTTAAAAGTGCTAGCTGTAACATTCCTATGCTGAAAATATTATATACTTTCACCGATTCAGTAAATTCGAAAAGAAAGGAAATGTAAAAAACACACTGTAATGATACATGTGAGACAGAATCCATCCTCAGGTTAATTTCAACTTTCTATTCTTGTAACTACCAAATAGGGCATTTGCTGAAAAGCACATCATTAATGTTAACATTGTGGGATCATCTTATTTACATTTGTTAAACTGCTTGGTTTCTAGACAATTAATGTGCCTTGAAATTTATTTCTTTTTTTAACACTGTTACTCTTGTGGAAGAGAGGGTGAAATCCACACCAATTTTTTGAACCTTCAGTACAGCTAGATTAACAGCTCAAAAGCTGATTATCCAGCTGTTTTCTGGTGAGGCTCAATGACTTCTCACCCTGTCTTCCACTCCAGATAGCTGTCTCCTGTTGCATTTACACGAGGAAGCCTTATGCAGACTTGTTTCCTCTAAGAGGCTTTCTCTATGATTAGAGACAGAACCAAACAAAACTAAAATAATTTCAGCTTCCAAAAAAGAATCTTTAGAAAGTCATGTGTCAGTGAAAAGTGGAAGAGTTGCACTGAAATTAGCCTTGTACACAGTGAAAACCACAACAATCAAAATGAGGACTGTGAATGAATGATTCACACATTTTTATATGGATCCATAGGCCATCACTTATAATTTTTCTCAATTCTTCTCCAATTGATTCCTTCTTGCCCCCACCCCTTTTCTTTTGCTGTCTTCTTGATTTCCTGATACCACTTCCCCCTGCTCTTCTTTGCTAGTGACTCATTAAGTCCAAGATGAACTGTCCTACCCCAATTCCATGTGCTCACTTAAACTTCCCTTCCCTTTCCTTTCTGTATCCATTTCCTCCTTGCTCTCCGTCACCAAATCCTGGAGACTGAAAGCAAATCAGCTGATATTCCTCACTCACTGGCTGACACACAGTTCAGTAAAACATGGACAGAACACATGAAGTCAATGATAAGATAAATACAAAGGCAGATTTAGTTAAATCACTGATTGACTACCATGGAATCTTACTCACTGGTATGTCATTTTCTGTTCTTTTAAACCCCATTTATATTATTCTCTATATATATATATATGTATCAGGTTAGATTTACATGAAAGGACCTGCCTAAACAACAGAAATGGGCTACTTAAAAAGTATAGTACCTACATCAACAATCAGGAAGTCCAGCCAGCACCAAGCATTAGTGAAATAAGTCTGAAAACCATAGGCCACCCACTTTAGCACCATTTCGAGAATAAAGATGTAAGTGAAGATTTTATCTGCATAGTCCAGTATGATTTTTATAGTCTTGCGCTGTTCAATATATATATCTTCAAAAGCCTGTGAAGAATGGGTTGAATGTAAGTCAGATATTCAAAGGTCTTCGCAAACCACAAATTAAGCCAAAAGAACTGAATTTAAAATGGCAAAGTCAAATCATTTTCAACTTTAGATGTTTTACCTTCAAAAGCCAACATGAGCAGAGATTACAATTCCATTCTTTCCAAGTTTTAGGTTTTATCATTGCCTGATAATGGAATTACAATAAGATGACTGAAGTTGCAAAGAGGTTTTTAGAGATTTCAATAGTAGTCAAGACAGAATTACAGTCTGTCACCCTGAAAAGCCCAGTTAGGCTCAGCCAGACAGCAGTCTCTCGATTATAACTCAGCTACAAAAAAAGAGGACAATGAGCTACAGTGACCAAATATTATGTTGCTACTGACCTTTGCTGAATTCCAATACTGGGTGTCGCTGGCAAGGTTTTGGTAGTGGGAAGCTGCAGGGGTGGGCCACTGTGAGAATAGGCCAGGGGCTACCCTGTGCCTGCTCCACACGGACCCACCACAGGAAGCAGCTGAGCCCATCAGTGAAGGTAGTGGTGCTTCCAGGAAAATATGTTTAAGAAAGGGCAAACCGCCGCAAGGCAGTATGAGGGATGAAGAAAAAAAGGAAGAGAAACTACCCTACAAAAACCAAGGTCAGAGAAAAAAGAGTGACATGGTGCTTCAGGTGCTGGAGAGATAATGACAGAATATACCAAATCATATGTCAATCAGCAACCAAAAAGAACTCAATATTTAGTAGCTGTGTGAAGGACTAAATGTCACCAGGAATAGTATAAAAGAATTCAAGGATTTCTATATAACAGTCTAGAAATACTGAAACTAAAACTAAAGCAAAAAATTAACTTAGAACATGATGAATTTAGCAACAGTACTGCTTTGGGGGACAATTTCAATGTAAAGTAGAATAATTGTTCCAGTTATAGCATACAGTTAGTTTTGTATGCTTTTTATAATGTCTTAAACAATATTTTTTTGGGTAATCCTTTTCATAAGCACCCTCACATATCATCTTGTATTCATCAAAAATTCATCTGCAGAATGTTATTTGACAGCAGAATTCTAATGACTTATTTTATATTCAATACTCAAAATATTCTGGGAATTTATTTGTTCCAAGCTCCCTTTCAAACCAACTTTGCATTTTTTTTCTTAATGAACAGAGACGTAACACTGTCCTTGATAAAACATTTTTATAGGTACTGTTTCTATGGGTGTATGCTCTTCTTACCAGAGTGCCACTGCTGAGAAGAATCATGAAGACAATGAATGTTTCAAACCAGTTGTGTTCTACTATCTTGTAGCAGGTTTTTCTAAGGTTCCACCAGATTCTTCCTTTTGTGCTTTCCATACTGCCTTTACAGCATTTAAACTTCCGTATACAGCCTAGTAACACAAACAATGACAAGTTTTTATATGGTTGAATTATTCAGTATCCTGAAAAAACAAAATCACTCTTAACTACCTCGTTTCATGGGGTACTCAACACTACAAGTTACTGCATGCTATTTAAGGTATCCCTACCTTCTCACTTTGATATTTTGGATGTAGTACACATGTATGCAATTTTTCTACTACCCTGATGCTACATCAAGCTTAGACTCAAAAGGAGTCATCTAATTGAGATAATTTTCATTATAAGTGCATTTTTTTAAAATATTTTTCATTTGTATACAGATCATCAGAGAACATATGAGAACTGTCAGGAAGTAGAAACAAAGAGCATAAACACATAGCAACTTTCATATGAAGTAATTCAAGAATACAGCAGCTTCTTTTAAAAGTACTTTTGTCTCTCAACTAAGGTTTAAATTAATCACACATATGCAAACACCTTTTAATTTCTTATACTGAGGAATGACCTCTGCTTCAAAGGCTGGCTAAGGATATCTCTTTCCTGACATAAACAACTGATTTAACTGGACATTGTGATTGCTTTTCCATGTGGTACAGATTTATGGTAACCACCCACAGAATTCTGCCTCAAGTTGGAGAGCTTCCTACCTTATCATGGGACCTCAAGGCACAGCTTTCCATGAAACTCAGTATCTGCCTGGCTTATAGTAGTCTTCTTATTTCTTTAAAAATGATTAATCACATAGAAATATAACCATGTTTAAATTATTTTAATGGGTCTCAAAGGCAGTATTCTTGTTTTCCTATGAGTGTCATTAATTTCGTATGTTACAAGTAAGTTATTGTGTATTTCATCAGCTCAGACAAAACAGCTGCCACTGTGAAGAGCATGATTTACCTTCCTTTCAACTACTAAAAAATTCTACATTACAGACAAATTAATCTTATGCCCAAGGATTGAGAGACATCACATAATACTAGGATAGGAAAGAATTGTAATACAATGTGAAACTATTTGAGAAGTGTACTTTTTATTTTTAATCAAGAGCTCCGTATATTAAATATAGCTCCACATTCAAAAAACTTTTTGATTTTTTTAAAAGATGGGTAAAATCATATTTGAAAGGACAAGAGACCTAGCCTAAGTCACAGGTGTCTTCATAATGGTAAATCAAAAAGCATGGATAGGATAGGAGAGTTAATCCTGGAACACATTTAGTTAAAGGTAAAGTAAGTTTTGTAATATTACAAAATTCGGAAATACACTCTTGTAGAGTAAATTTCAGTAGTGCCCTAAAGGATATAGCTATGCAGAAATAAAATAAATAGAAACTTCTAAGGATATGAAAGCAGGCAGTTAAGAGTTCTTTACTTGAATAAAAACATAGTATCTCATTCATCTGTTGTACCCCAGAGTACATTTATGCACCCCTTCCCCATTAATGGTATAAAGTCAAGATAATAACTCCATTGCTTGAGTCAAACTCTCTACGATCAGAATCATCTACTGGATTGCCTTCTAGCACTGTGAGGGGACCATGGGTGACCACATGATTCTGGTTTAAATTTCTCAGTGAACCTAGTGTAGGGTTTGGTCTTGCATACTTCACTAGAGAGTGTCATTTAAGCCAACAGGATTACTGATTGCAGAGAATCAGTTTATAGAAATGTGCCTAGTTTTTATTTTAAAATATTATAAATGATCACATATATACACATTTAACTTTGCATCACACAAATGGCTCCATGGACTTCAGTACAACAGGCAAAATTAATCATATCACAAGACTTGAGACACGAGCATCCAGGACTGCTGTAGCAAACAGCTTCCTTGAACTGCCAATCCTTGTTGCAAACAACCAAACTGTAATTGCTAAGCCCAGACTGTATTTCCATACCTTCTGTAAAACATGCCTGTAGCTCGGATGCTTTTTCTGGTTCAGTTTCAGCTTTTTCTTCTCCAAAGAGAGCTAAATTAACTGTACTTCCCTCTGATGAGCTGGAAAAATTTAGCTTCTGAAAACAGAATTCCGTAACAGTTATAATTTACTAATATTCAAATTTTTAGAATTGTAATTAACTTTAAGCATGCAACACTGTGTGCAAGTAATAATAATAGTATTTGTCACCAGAAATACACACAAATGTCCACATATAGCAGTCAATGCTGTTGAAATGTGCATAAATCATCCACTTTCTACACAGAGATTCCAAGGTGCACCATGTCATCTTTCACTAAATTTCAGAACTTCTATTCTAAATAGTGCAGTGTTATCCCTCATCATGGTTTATTACTACCAAGTAGATTTTCTGATACATATAGTTTTTATTTTGTTTTCTATTATTATCTTGTTACTATAATTTCTCTTGCTAAATTTTAAACCAATACCAGTCATACTGTATGCTTTAAGATGATGTATATTGGTAGTAACTGTCAATAGAGCAGCCTCCTCAACTTGAAGACAGTCAATCCCGACAGCAGAAAACTTTAAATTGTGAACTGTCAGGGCACACTGTTCAAGGGAGAAAATGTAGCAGATTTTTAAGGACTGACTTTAATTCAGTGCCCATTATTTATAATATAAAAATAAAGGAAATTAATTACAATTTTTTTACCAACATCTTAAACATCAGTATGATGCAAGCAAACCACTTCTGGCATATATGGCCACTTATAATAAAATTTTATTATCTTTGACCACAGATAATTTGGTTATTTTTAATATTAAGATCATTCTTAAAATCTAGATTTGAAAATGCTACAGTAAAATCAAGATTAATAGGAAACCTTGTTCCAGATGTGAATTTGAACATCACCCTCAATACATTCATAAAATAAATTAAGCCTGACCTATCTTAACCCATAATTAACACTACCATATAAACACCTTTAATTTTTTTTCAAATATACTGATAAATTTCAAAAAGGAAAAAGTCTGATAAATACATTTCAACTGGCATTAATTTGCATTCTTTTTTGTCAATGCACATATGTATTACATTGTGCATTCTGAAACTACCCGTTACTCTGGTACACATACCTGTACAGTTAACACCCAGAAAGAAAGGATTTTTGGTTTGTTTTCATAATTAAAATTACATAAGTCACATTAGTGAAAAACCAACAAAGAAACAAAGTAATAAAAGAATAAGACAATTTTCATTTTTAATGTGCATGTGTATTGCAAAAATTCACAGTCTGGAGATATTAAATGAAGATGTGGTGTCCTGTACACTTAAGATGAGTATGAGTACCAAACTAAGTCAAAGTAGTTTTGGTCATAGCATTCTCTGACATTTTACTATGTTATTATCAAGAAGTATATAACATCAGTAATGAATTCACACAACTAAATGTCTGTAGGGAATGATGTAAGCACACTATAAAACAGCCTCGGTTTTGTAGAATTAACAAAATGTTCATTAATTTAGAAAGACTTGCATGATTAAGAGACATTTCAAATATAAAAGCAGACAAGTTACTGGCACTATCCAATCAAGCTGTATTTATACCTCAATTGCAAAACGTGAAAGAACAAAATTATTTTAGCTATTACACAACTTTTTTTTTTGCTATGTTTGTAAAGAAAAGACATAAGCAAAAAAAAGTAACCCAGTGTCCGGCATTAGCTTTTATTAAAAATTACTCAGTAATATTGCCTACTTTGCTGCTACTCTGGAAACTGATTATCTGGAACAGAACTCCCAAATTACTCATATATAATGCAAACACGTATTTAATTTCTAGTAGCATTAATTTTAAAATATCAATATCCACAACAAACCTCTTTTCCTACCACTAATTCTACTAAGCCTGAGGATAGCACTATATATCGCCATCATTTTATTAATATGCTGCTTTCATCATTCCATGACATAGCATATATATTGCAAAATGTTGCAGCAGTGGTTGGTAAACTGAAATAATGAACAGAATTATAAATCAAATCACTAACTTTTAAAATATGTATTTTTTAAGAGTAAGAAAGTTTAGTGACATATTGCTAATAAAAATGAAAACCAACATGAACTACCCTGGGTCATTTGAACTGTAAGCTGCTCAGTACATGGTTTGAGCAGATAACATGAATTCAACTGAAAGAATAGATTTTTATGAATAAACAACATTAAAAGATGTACAACCATAAACAGAAAAGAAACTGAAAAGAATCAACGTGTTTAGAACATGAAGTTATATATATCTCATTTAATACATGGTAGAACAATCAGAGAGTAGAGAATTTATTTTTAGTTGAGAAAGGCAATTTTCTGGACTCTAGAAACCAAATTAGAGGCTCAATAAACTATTTTGATATAAAGGACAGGTAGCCTGGTTCTCTGTTTCTTCTAGGGGCAGTGTATGATACAAACCTGTGCTTAAGGGGTTTGAGATTTAACATCTGTTCTTTTTCATGTGAGGTGCTCAAATTTGTCACTAAAATAAGGGATCAAACAACAAAAAAAGGAGATGGTAAAAAGCAATATGTATAGAAGTCTCCTGTTCTAATTAAAAATTCAGTTAGTTGCTTTACTATGTAAAAGTTCGCAAAGATCTAATTGCTTTTGTGAATCACTCCAGGAACAGGACTTTTAGGAACGACAGAAATGTTTATCCTTCATCTTCCAGGTCTCTTAGCTGCTGTTCAAAGTTTACGAAACTAAGCTAAGAAGGCCTGATTGTATATACACTAAGTACTGGTGTGAATGGGGCAACTACTCAAAAGTTGATTAGCAGCCTCGATGTTTGGAAATCAACAGCTAAAACATTTTCATTAAAGAAAATTCCCTCAATATAATGACTTCTTTCTTTCTCAAGGTTGGCAGTGAAAAGCTATTCAGATTTTAAATACTTTTTTTTTTTTCAATACAAATATCTGCTGTAGTGTTATAAGGTTAACATTTGGAGCTCACGATCTTTCTTTTTTCTTGAAGGAGTCAAGGTATGATGTCACAAACACTTGCAAGGATAGTGTCGCTTCTACAAACTGTTACACTGAGGCCACTTAGGATTGCTTCAGATAATTAGTAAAGAGTCAGCTTTAGCGAGCATCATCTTAAAAACGATAAATTAAAGTATACTCAACATTGCAGATAGTAACTTTAAAGAAAACTCTGTAATAAGAGCTAATAAGAAACAGGCCACTGATTATTCATATGGTGCAACTTACCGTACATTCAATTTGTAAGTTGTTCACATTTTGATATTCAAATAGTATAGGAAAATCTGATACATATCCCAACCTCCAAAGCAAAGAACAAATGTACCAGCAATACAGCTGCTAATGCAAGGAATGAAAGGGAAACATCGTCTTGTATAATTAAAAAAAAAAAAAAAACAAAAAACCCAAGCCCACAGGAAGACTGTGTTGCATATTCCCATCTTCTCAATTACTAAGGAATTCACTCTTTATTTATTTATTTAAGTAGACTGATTCTCTTTTTCCTGGAGAAGGTGGTAAAGAACTGCAGTAAAATGTGAAAGATGACTGGGAGAATATGTTCAGGAACCTTTTAGACGAGAGGATCCAAAAACATTATTACATAGAAATGCAACAGAAAGCCTTAGCACAGCTGTGTTATGCTGCTTATATTACATCAACTGAGTATTTTC